CAATATATTCTGTGAAGCGCTTTGAATGTTTCAAAAACGAGAGAAGGTGCGATGTCAAAACAAGGAGTCCTGCAGCTCAATGGTTCTAGCACTCGATTTGCAAGTGAGACACATAATTCCCGCCAGGTCACGTTTCCTTGCTCCGCAAGACTGATAATAATATCTCAAGAAAACAAAATAATAGATTGGTCACTTCAGTCTACGATAGTTTGTGGGACGCTGCTGTGCACAATTCGCTGACACATTTTGACCAAAAACATAGAGTCAATTCACTTTACGTGATATGCTGTGAAGCACTTTGAGACGTATTGAAGACGTGAAAAGCGCTATATCAAAATGCAAGCCTTATTATTGTTATAATTATGGTTTCTCTTATTGGAGGTTTGATGTTAAAAGGGGAACTCAACAATATAACTCATTGATTTTTTCAAACTGCTACGAAATCTCCCCAGGATGTTGCTTGTAGCAGCCATGCAGCCAGTAAGAACTGAAAGTAGAATTTATTTTAGGAGTTCTTGTGTGTGGGTTGTCTATTATATATGGAAACCCATCACCATCCTTGTGGGTATCGAAACTAAACTAAGATTTCAAAAGCGTGAACCTTGTTACTCAGAGGCCAGAGGGCGAGGGATTGAGCAACAAGATGACACCCGTGTAATCCAATAAACTCACTTTCTCTTTCATTTTGCGCTCATCAGGGTATTTTTGTTGAGAAATCCGCGGTATCGAGCCGATTATTATCTTCGCTATAAAACACAAGCTCATTGGCAGCCTGTAAGACAAGGAGAAAGACAGGGCGAGAGAAACAGACAGAAGAATGACGGCACTTCAGCGCACCGTCAAATATGATCTGGTAAGAATTTAACATGGGCAAGGTTTAAATTTTGAAATGACTAAGAATTTTTAACTGGACAAAACAATAACAATGATCTCACGTTTGACTCTTTCGCTTCCCGTCCCTTTGATGACATTTCAAAGTGATTTGCAGAATCTCACTGTACAGTGTGGTGACTGTGTGTTTAACCTGGCAGCGCCTGTCTGCTCACAGTGACGGCTCTATCAACAGCAGTCCAGTGAGCAGCTTTATCTGTCAAACACTCACCAGAAGTGTGCGAGTTTGAGAGAGAAAGAGAGAGCGTGAATATATGATAAAGTGTAGTGAATATGTTTTACGGGAGAGACACAGAGACAGAGATAGAGAAAAAGAGAGAGAGGGGAGGCGAGAGAGAGATTGAGAGGGAGCGAGAGAGGGTTTAGAGAGAGAGAGAAAGAGAGAGCGTGAATATATTATAAAGTACAGTGAATGTGTTTTACGGGAGAGACACAGAGACAGAGAAAGAGAGAGAGACAAAGGAGGCGAGAGAAAGATAGAGAGAGGGCGAGAGGGGGTTAGAGAGAGAGAGATAGAAAATATGCGATAGACTGAGAGAGAGAGAGAGAGAGAGAGAGAAGAGAGAGAGACTGGGGGAGAGTGGTAGAGACTCAGAGTGTGACTGAGTTGGAGACAGACTGCGAGAGAGAATTATGATCCCACAGAGAGCGAGAGAAAATATGCACGCGATTAAGAGAAAGACAGATACAGGGAGTTGTTGAAGTGAGAGAGACTGCGAGAGATAGAGACACTAAGATTTTGAGCGAGAGAGAAACGCACACAGAGAAGGAAACTGGGAGAGAGACATTTTGAGAAGGAGAAACTAAGGTTTTGAAAGAGAAAAAACTGACCAATGGAAACATGGCCTAAAATTCAACGAGAAAGAGAGAGACACTAAGAGATTCTGAGAATGATAGACGGTGCCTTCTGCTCCCCTCTCGACTCTCTACCCCCTCGTCGCTCCCTCCCTTCCCTCCCCTCACCCTGACCATTCCCCCCTGCTCGAGTCCTGACCTAACTGTACAGCGCCTTGGGTCGTTCTCCCGACGTAAAAGGCGCTCAATAAATGGAATCTTGTTGTTGTACTAAAAGAGAATGAGAGCGAAACTGCCTTTTCCCGAAGTTAGCGGAGTGGGAGAAGTTGAACAAAAACCCCATGTTCATTTTTTTAGCTCAGTCGTTATATGACTTGTCTCGCAAGCAGGACTCCTTCGATCGATGCCCAGCTGTGTGAAACCTTGAGCAAGTTTCCTAGCTGCACACACCTAGTAATAATCCCTAAAGAAAACTAAAGCAAAGATAATTGGTCGCACAATGCACAACTATTTGTAGGATACTGCTGTGTGCAATTGGACGCTGCGTTCATCCCACGAAATATACATTCAATTCACTCTACAGTTCTGTTAAGCGTTTTCAGACCTCTAGACAAAACCAATTAACAGACACCAGTTAAGTGAGCTGTCTGCCAGTTCACCAGAAACGTGGTAGACTGGGAGAGAGAGAGAGAGGGGTGGCGAATATATAATAAAGTGTAGTGACTGTGTTTTGCGGGAGAGACAGAGAAAGAGACTGAAACGGGGTGAGAGGGAGAGGTAGAGAGAGAGAGAATGTGCGGGAGACTGAGAGAGAGACACCGGGAGAGTGTGACATAGACTCAGAATGTATCTGAGAGTGAGAGACTGCGAGAGAGAATTATGATCTCAGAGAGAGCGAGTGAAAATGTGAAAGAGATTAAGAGAGAGAGACAGATACAGGGAGCGATTGAGGTGAGAGAGATTGCGAGAGAGAAAGCGAAACTAAGACTTTGAGCGAGAGAGACACACAGAGAGAAGGAAACTGGGAAGGAGACATTTTGAGAGCGAGAAACTAAGAGATTTCGAGAGAGAGAAGAAAAAGAGAAAGAGTAACACAGCGAAAAACACAGGGAGAAAGGAAGAGAAATTAAGAGATGTTGAAAGTGATAGAAGTACTAAAAGAGAAGGAGAAATTGTATTCTCCTAAAGTTAGTGGAGTGGGAGATGCTTACCATGAAACCCATGTTATTTTTATTTATTTAGTCCATGTTAGGTCATTGGTTAGACAGTTTGCCTCGCAATTAAGAGACGTTGAATCGATACCCAGCAGCGTGAAACCTTGGGCAAGTTTCCTTACTCCACACACCTAATCATAATCACTCAAGAAAATAAAAACAATAATAATTGATCACTCTATGCATAACTGTTGGTAGGACACTGTTGTATGTAATTGATTGCCGCGATTAGTCCATGAAATATATCGTCAATTCATTGTACAGTACAACAACAAGATAACATTTATAGAGCGCCTTTGTCGTCGGGAGGACGTCCCAAGGCGCTGTTCATTTGGGTCAGGACACGAGCAGTGTGGGAAATGGTCAGGGTGAGGGGAGGGAAGGGAGGGAACGAGGAGGGGGTTATGTTGAGAGTGATGGGAGGAAAGGGAGAGAGCGAGGAGGGAGTAGAGCGTCGAGAGGGGAGCTGAAGGCTCGGTCAAAGAGAAAGGTCTTGAAACCGGCCTTCAAGGAGGAAAGGGTGGAGGCAAGGCGAAGACACTGGGGGATGGAGTCCCAGAACCTTCGATCGGAGAGGCTAAATGTCCGACCACCGATGGTAGGGCGGTAAGGGCGGGGGATGTGCATCAGACCGGAGCCAGAGGAACGGAGGGTACGGGCAGGTAGGTAGGGGGATAGTAGGTCGGAGAGGTAGGAGGGAGCAAGGCCATGTAGGTGAGGATGAGGATCTTGAATTCGATCCTCTCGGGGATGGGGAGCCAGTGCAGGCGAGCGAGGGTGGGATTTATGTGGTCGCTAAGGCTGGTGCGGGACAGTACACGAGCTGCAGAGTTCTGAAAGAAGACAGTTTGTTTGAATCGCCCCAGTACACACCTGAGCTCGGAAGCTGCGTTGTCTGAGCTGTCCAGCGCTGGTGCGAGAGACAGAGACATTCTAAGAAGCGATTTTAGACGTCCAAAAAAGACGAGAACAGTGTTACAAATGCAGTGATTAGAATTATAACATTTGCCCTGAGCAGGGCAAGGACGAGGAGTCAAACAATTTTAGCTTCGTTGACAATGAGAAACTCTCTGTCTCGGGCACCAACGCTGGACAACGCAGCTTCCGAGCACAGGTGTGTACTGAGGCGAATCAAACAAACTAACTTCTTACTGGGGAGAAACTGAGCCAGGCTGACACACAGTCACTGAGACAGGCTGACACACAGTCACTGAGACAGGCTGACACACAGTCACTGAGCCACGCTGAGACACAGTCACTTAGCCAGGCTGACACACAGTCACTGAGCCACGCTGAGACACAGTCACTGATCCACACTGGCACACAGTCACTGAGTGAGGATGTCACACAGTCACTGATCCAGGCTGACACACTGCCACTGAGCCAGGCTGACACACAGTCACTGAGCCACGCTGAGACACAGTCACTGTCCAGGCTGGCACACAGTCACTTAGTGTGGATGTCACACAGTCACTGATCCAGGCTGACACACTGCCACTGAGCCAGGCTGACACACAGTCACTGAGCCAGGCTGACACACAGCCACTGAGCCAGGATGACATAGAGCCGCTGAGCCAGGCTGACACACAGCCACTGAGCCAGTCTGACACAAGTCTTACTGAAGTAATGAATAATATTTGATGTATATTACAAAGCGTGTTAAGAATCCGTGTTTATCGATCTGTTTTGTTGCCCAGTTTCAGGAGGTGGGAGTGGCCCTCGCGAGGCAATCTAAAACCGCAAAGCCTCAGGAGGGGGTGAAGTTGACGGCCTATCACCTCCACCCTGGGGTGTCTGACCCGCTGGTCTCCAGCGCCCGCAAATCTCTCCCGAACATCACTGTCTGTGTGCAGACCTGCGAGGGGAAGCAGAGGGCTCTGCAGATTCCAATGCATATGAGAGTCTACGAGCTGAAGAACGCGATATCCCGGGAAATGGGAATCCCGGTAGAATCCCAGATCCTCTACTGGAAATCTTCGGAGCTGGAGAAAATGAAGAAGCTTTGCGACATTACCATGAAGGACAGCATTTGCGTCACTGTGGTGCACAAGTGCCTCGGAGGCTGATGTGTGGAGACTACATCTCTCACTTCCCCATCCTGTTTGTGCTCGCTTTCTCCACACTGGAGATTTCTGCTCTAACGCCTTTCCCCGGCTCTCTCTCTCTGCACTTTTGCTCGATATCCCGCACTGAAGCTGTATTCTCTAACCCCATTCCCCAGATCACTCCGTCTCCCTCTCTCTCATGGTTTTGCTAATGATGCCGATAAAAAATTGTGTTTGACACTTTTGCTGTTGGGAGATTTTCTCGATGCATGTTATGTCCCGTGATTAACAAGGATTAAATATGTGAAAATAGAAGATATTCGGATTGATTTGACATAATGTGTGTTAGAGAGAGAGAGAGTTAGACGGATAGACAGACTGAGGAAAAAGCTGAGGGAGAGAAAGATGTTCGAAAACAAAACAACACAATTATTTATGTATAGTGCTGTTCAAGTGGGAAACATCCGAGCGCATGATAGTGGCAGACTCTGGAAACAATTCATGGGAGCGCGAGTTGGGAGGTGAGCTAATTTAGTTGGGAAGTGAACAAAAAANCAACAACAACAAAATTGCTTTTGTTGGGAGCCTTTCACGTGAGGAGGACGTTCCATGGCGCCAGAACTGTCCGCACAACAAAACACGATGTATGTCAATGAATTTGGAGGATTCATTTAGATTCTGGGCTGGGGTTGCGTTTGGCCTTCGACGGTCTTAGCCCTGGTCTTGTCCCTGACTCTGACCAATGAGTCTTTAGGCAGCATTTGATAGTATGGAGGAAGAGGGGGTTGGGTGTTGTGGGGTGGTGGTGGGGTGGGAGAGGCAGAAGGAAGAAAGTAGAGTATTCCAAAGTTTCGATTTGCAGCGACTAAATGCACGGGAACTAATGCTGGATTCGAGGTGATCAGAGAGAAACAGGAGGCAGGAGAAGGCTGAGCGGAGGCTGTTGGCGTTTAATTTGGAGATGTTGGAAGTTACTAGATCAGTAAAGTAGGGAAGTGCGAGCATGAAATGTTTGTGTGATGCTGCTGTGCAGAATTGGCTCCAGCATTTTGTGGGCCATACGCGGCGGCCAATTTCGCACATCAGTGTCCCATAAACAGTTGTGGATTGAATTGACCAAATCATTATATTTTCTGGAAGGATTATTATCCCCAGATAAGCAATTCGTCAATCGAATAACAGCCAAGCTCCTAGTGGTTGCTAAGGAAATGTTGGCGTGTGGAAAATGGAAACTTGATCAACATTTCAGCTTCCGGGCAAACGAACACAACAACAACAACAACAACAACAACACGATTCCATTTATAAAGCGCCTTTCACGTCAGGAGGACGTCCCAATGCGCTACACAGTTGGGTAATGACCCGAGCAAAGGGGAAATGGTCACGGTGAGGGGAGGGAAGGGAGGGAGCAAGGAGGGGGTAAATGGTCAGGGTGAGGGGAGGGAAGGGAGGGAGCAGGGAGTCGAGAGGGGAGCTCAAGGCTAGGTCAAAGAGAAAGGTTTTGAGACCGGCCTTGAAGGAGGAGAGGCAGGAAGCAAGGCGAAGTCACTGGGGGATAGAGTTCCAGAGCCTAGGGGCTGAGAGGCTGAAAGCCCGACCACCGATGTTAGGGCGATTGGGGCGGAGGACGTGGAGCAGAACGCTGCCGGAGTAACGGAGGGTACGGGCAGGTAGGCAGGGGGATAGTAGGTTGGACAGGTAGGAGGGAGCAAGGCCGTGAATGGCATGTAGGTGAGGATGACGATCTTGAAACCAATCCTCTGGGGGATGGGAAGCCAGTGGAGGCGAGCGAGGGTGGGAGTGATGTGGTCCCGAAGCCTGGTGCGGGACAGTACACGAGCTGCAGAGATCTGAATGACCTGCAGCTTGTGGAGGGAGGTGGCGGGAAGGCCGGCGAGGAGAAAGTTCCCATAGTCCAGCCTTGAGGTGACAAAAGCATGGACCAGGGTTTCAGCAGCGTGAGGGGTGAGGCAATGCCGTAGTCTGGCGATGTTCCGGAGATGATCGAAGGCGGTTCTAGTTGTGGTGCGTATGTGAGGGAGAAAGGACAGCTCAGGGTCGAACAAAACGCCGAGGTTCCTGACTGGCTTTGAGAGGTGGAGAGTGCAGCCTTGGATGCTGATGTTGTCGGCGCCTGAGGTGCGGAGGCGCTGACTTGAGCCAATCAGGAGGGCCTCGGATTTTCGCACGTTGAGCTGAAGAAAGTTGTCTGTCGTCCAGGACTCGATGTCGGACAGGCAGCTGTCAGGACTTCGGTGGTCGTGGAGTTGAGAGGAGAGGATAAAAGGTAGAGTTGGGTGTCATCCGCATACATGTGGAAGTTAACTCCATGTCTGCGGATGATGTCACCAAGGGGGAGCATGTAGAGGGTGAAGTGGAGGGGACCAAGGACAGAGCCCTGAGGGACACCACATGAGACATTACGGGGGGTGGAGGAGAAGCCATTCGTCGAGACAAAGTGAAGACGGTGAGAAACGTACGACCTAAACCACTCACGGACAGTGCCTTCAAGGTTGAGGTGGGAGGACAAGCGTTGGAGTAGGATAGCGTGGTCGACCGTATCGAATGCTGCCGATAGGTCGAGGAGGACGAGGAGGCAGAGGGAGCCCTGGTCACAGATGGTCAGGATATCATTGGTGACCTTGACCAGGGCAGTTTCTGTGCTATGGGCAGCACGAAAACCTGACTGAAGAGGTTCGACAAGTGAATGGGTGGAGAGGAAAGAGCGCATTTGGGAGGCGACAACTCTTTCCAGGACCTTGGAGAGAAAGGGGAGGTTGGAGATGGGCCGGTAGCTTGATAGCTGCGACGCATCAAGGGAGGGTTTTTTCAGCGTGGCAGTTTTTAAGGGAAGGGGGACAGAGCCAGAGGAGAGGGACAGATTGATGATGTCGGTGATATGTGGGGCAAGAAAGTGGAGCTGGGAGATAAGGAGTGGAGTGGGGATGGGGTCAAGGGAGCAGGTCGTTGGTTTTAGGGATAGGATGAGTTTAGTGACAGAGGGTGGGGAAACTGGTACAACAGTGAGTAGGGGAGGATGGGTAGGTTTCGGAGTGTAGGAGTGAGGGGGTGGGGGGTTGGTGAAAGTTGGAGGGGAAGTGACCGCGCAGCGGATTCCCTTGATCTTGGATTCAAGGAAATCCATCATCTCCTCGCAGTGAAGGTTGGAGGAGATGACCTGCGCGGGGTGGCGGGGGGNACGGAGGAATCGGGTTGTGGTGGAAACCAGTAGCCTGGGGTTGTTCTTCGCCTCCAGGATTATCATGGAGTAGAAGGACGACTTGGCCGAGGTTAGAGTGGAGCGGTAAATTTTGAGGAGGTCCAGCCAGATTTGTCGGTGGACCGTTAGGCCAGATTTGACACAGGTGCGTTCAGCAGCCCGCACCTGGCTTTTCAGTGAGCGGAGGTGGGTGGTGTACCAGGGGGAGGAGCGGGGGTAGGAGACAGTGCGGGAAGTGATGGGGGCAAGAGTATCGAGTGTGGAGGAGAGGGTATTGTGGAGGAGGGAGAGAGGAGAAGAGGGGTCGATGAGGGTTGAAGGCCAGAGGGAGAGGAGTTCAGAGGACTCCAAGGCATCGGGTAGGATTGTGGGGGTAACTTCTTCCAAGGGCGGTAGAAGATGGTGGTGGGTCTGGTGGAGGTGGGAGGGGGGTGGAGGTGGTGAAGGAGATGAAGTAGTGGTCAGAGATGGCCTTGTCGGTAATAGTGACATCCGAGACACTGAGGCCCCGGGTGATCACCAAATCGAGTGGGTGGCCGTGACTGTGAGTGGGGGAGTTTAAGTGTAAGGAGAGGTTGAGTGAGGAAAGCAGGGAAGAGAAGTCTGTGGAGATGGAGCAGGAGGGGGAGAAGTGTAGGTTAAAGTCGCCCAGGATGATGAGGCGATCGGAGCAGAGGCAAAGAGATGTGAGGAGTGTTGAAATGTCGGAGATGAAGGTGGGAGAGGTTTTAGGGGGCCGGTACAGGAGGAGGATTTTAAGGGAGAGGAATGAGGGGTGGGAGAGAGTGAGGTGCTCAAAGGAGGGGAAAGAGCCAGTGGAGTAGGGGCACAGGGCAAGTGGTGTCCTTGACAGAGCCTCGGAGAGAGATATACATTGTCAAAGAAAGGCACAGAGAGACGTACACAGAGAGATAGATATACAGGTGTATACACACAACACGGGTAGGCAGACAAACAGACGGATGGAGATACACGTTACAAAACAAAAAAATACATTTGTGAAGGACCCTTTACGTCAGAAAGACATTCCAGTACGTAGGAGAAGTAGTGGATTTTGACCCGGGCACCAGTTGGGTTTTGGAGCGCTGGAGGGCAAGGGGTTGGGAGGTTTGTGAAGTTGTAGCAGAAGAGCAGCTCTTGGGAAGGGACTTGCAGTAGGCAATATAGATTCTTAGGTGGAGGGATCTGATTGTGGGATATAGTTCTAGAGACAGGGGGCATATAGGCTGAATGCCTGAACGCCAATGGTGAGGCAGAATTTGCAAGGGAACTGAAGCAGGTATCCACCTGGCAAAGGGAGCGTGCAGGCTGTTATGGAATTAGAACATCAGAAGTGTTGTGGGGCAGTATCATGGAATATCAACAACAACAACAAGATTCCATTTATAAAGCGCCTTTCACGTCAGGAGGACGTCCCAAGGCGCTGCACAGTTGGGTCAAGACCCGAGCAGGGGGGAAATGGTCAGGGTGAGGGGAGGGAAGGGAGGGAGCGAGGAGGGGGGAAATGGTCAGGGTGAGGGGAGGGAAGGGAGCTAGCGAGGAGGGGGGAAATAGTCAGGGTGAGGGGAGGGAAGGGAGGGAGCGAGAAGGGGAAGAGAGTCGAGACGGGAGCTGAAGGCACGGTGAAAGAGAAAGGTTTTGAGACCGGCCTTGAAGGAGGAAAGGGAGGAAGCAAGGCGAAGGCACTGGGGGATGGAGTTCCAGAGCCTGGGGCTGAGAGGCTGAAGGCCCGATCACCGATGGTAGCGCGGTTGGGCGGGGGACGGTGGAGCAGACCGGAGCAAGAGGAACGGAGGGTACTGGCAGTTAGGTAGGCGCATTTTAGGTTAGAGAGGTCTCAACTTAATTCTCTGAGGAATGGGGAGGATACCATATGCAGAGTTCTGAATAACATGCAGCTCATGGAGGGAAGATTTGGGGAGTCCAGCGAGCAGACAGTTGATGCAGTGAAGTCGTTACGTGATGAAAGCGATGACAAGGGTCACTGCAATGTGTGGTGAGAGGCAGTGGCGGATGCTGGAAATGTTGCGGAGGTGGGGAAAGGCGGAGCAGGTCACGGCACCAATGTGGGGTTTGATGGACTGCAGATGGTAGA